CCAGCCGCTTAGGACAGCGCCCCGAGAGCAAGGGGAGGAGGCGCCGCGGGCGAGCAGAGGGGGAAATTTTGGGAACTCGACTCGCAGGCACCCTGCAGGGTGGGGGCTGGTCGCCCCACGGTTCACGCAAACTGTAATCGAAGCCTGGAGCGAGTGGCTCCAGGCCCAGGCGTCTGCCTACAGCGAGCAGAGTGGGCGCCCAGGCTCAGCCCAGGGCCTCAGTGCAGAGATCCTTGCCGAGCACCCTCACTCCCGCCTGTATCTTGGCCCAGGTCAACTTTCCCCGGCTAGAAAGCACTCCCCTCAGGGTGGCCGAGTTTAGTCTGGGCGCCAGGACTTGGCTAGTTGCAGGAATGTTGGGCCGGGCCTATCTCCCCTGAGGCCTCTCCTCTCAGAGGACCCACACCAGTCTTGGCAAACAGGTGGCATATGGGCTTCTGGCATTTGAACTAACCTCTTCGTCCTGCTCAGGCCCTCTCTGTGCTGTTTCAGAGCTTTCACCAAAGCTGGGCTACCCAGTCCACGGAGCTGCTATAGTTATACCAGAGCCCCTGCAGGCGTGGGGCACAGCATTGTGCTCTGGGCAGCTCACCTAGCAGACTCCTGCGGTTCTGAGAGCCCCAGTCTCTGCTCTTGCTGAACCGGTGACTAGGCTCAAGGCTTGGGCTTTTACAAAGGTCACTGGACAGTTTCTCCTGTACTCCTGGGATACAGGTAGCCTAGGGTGTCCTTGACCTGGGCAGGGGCCAGGACTAGACTGCAGGCCACTGGCAGGCTGTTTCTCTGTGTGCCAGAGGCCGGTAGACTGACCTTGCATCCAGGATTGGAGAGGGGACGTGAGTGGACCAGGCAAGGTCTAGAGATCCCTGAGGGGCTTGCCGAGGCCCCCAAACACTTGGGTCTGGGCCCCCGCAGGAGGTGGATATGGGTGTGCAGCTGCCAGGAAGTGGGGTCCAGGTGTGGGAAAGGGTCACTCCGGAGAACTGGGGGCTGCTGGGGACTAGAAGGCTGTGAAGGCAGGCCTGCAGGCTGAAAGGCAAGCCCAGGATGTTAGAGGGGCCAGCAGAAGCCCACAACCCCTCCCCAGAGCCCCCGTGTACTCCATGCTCCCACCCAGCTCCAAGCAGGGCACAGTGCTCAGAAGATGAGCACAACCGGTTCAGGGGCAGCATTCTGGACAGTTGGCCCAGGTCTCCAGGGAAGCAAAGGGAGAGGCCTGGGTGGAGCCCAGGGCCTAGGCCACTGAGACCGGGCCCAGCGGACACCGTGGCCGGGCCTGGGTGGAGGAGGGAGCATCAGAAGGACCAGCCACCACGGAGCACTGGGCCTCCTCTCCCCGGGGCCCTGCCCCACCTGACCTCTCATCAGGAGAAAGCCAGTTGTTTGTAAACACTAAATAATGGAAAGTAGAGGATGCTGGGCTGCAGGACTGGTGGAGTCTGGAGGAGGGAGATGGGGGAAGGGAGGACCGGGGAGGAAGAGGGAGACTAGATTCATTTCCACCCGAGGAGCCCCGTGGCTACTTTCTGATTATTTACAGGAAGGTGGTATTAGCAATTCAGGTGAGAAAGAAAGAAACAGGGCCTGCCACGAAATCAATACAGAATTCAGAAACAATTATTAATGTCATTTGACTCGTGTTCTTTATATCTCTTCCGGCTACGGCGCTAAACTGTCTGAATAATCTGCATGGGGCGGCTGTTCATTATTTCCGAAGGTTTCCCTTTGCCAGCCTCTCGGACGTGGCCGGCTTCGGTCCAACGCGATCGGAGAACTCGTATTTTCATCTGTAAATTAAAGCAATTACGCAGCAGATATCATATGATGTGTGCTGCGGTCTCCAGATAGTCATCAATCACCTTCAACAGAGCTGTCAGAGGCGGCAGATTTCGTTTCTGGGAGGCAGCCCCGCAGCTGGGGAGAGGGTGAAAACGTCATCATTAATTAGGGGTGACCCTGGGGCTATTCACAGGTCTGAACCCAGGAATCTTCCAGAGCAAGTCTGCACAGAGCCACATCGAGGGTTCCGCTCCGGCCCAGCCGAGCAGCAGGGGGGCCCGGGCCCCAAGGACCGCGGAGCCCCAGGCCGGGAGCGAGTTCCGGGAGAGCCCGTCACTCCCTGGCTTCCAGCACGCCTGGCTCCTCAGAACTCGGGCAAAGTCCCAGACCAGGCT